TTGCTACAGCAGACATAAGGCAGGCCATTAATTAACATCTTCATCGAGTTTATTTTGCATTCTTAACTTTGTTCCATAATCCTCCACTTTGTGGTCCTTAGTTTCCTTAGTGGTCCTTAGTGATTACTGCAAAGCGCACACACAAAGGGACACCCATGGGACTAGCACCCTTTGAACATGCTCTCACAAGAGAGTACATAACACGATGTAAAATGTGTTCCAAGAACGGAAAGTTCAAATAGTTTTCTCTGAGCTCTCAGGACAAATATCAAACAGGCAAAGATAACATCAAATACATAAACAAACAAAAATATCTTGAAGGGCTTCTACATCGAAGGAAAGTGTAGCTACAACTTGCTGGAAAGAAGTTTTTGAAGAGAAACTTTCATTTAAAGAGATATTTATATATATTTATATCTCATAAAGTAAAAGAAGAAGAAACAGATCGGCTTGCTCAAACTAAAACAACCATGTCAGACACACAGATGTCATGTTGTTATTGAAAAGGTAGTTACAGAGAAAGTATGGGCCCTTGAACTAAACTGACTGATGCTCTCTGCAGGGGCCGAGGGGCTGCCTGGCTATTTTTGGACGGTCTGTTGAACTCATCAACAGCTCGGTAGCTGTATGATGTGGCAGGATGATGTGCCATACACACATTCAATTACTGAAGCAGTGTAATGTTCTCTTTATTCTTTGTGTAGCCAAATAGGGGGAAGACATACATCACTGTGCAATAGCTTGAGACAGATTTAAAAAAACTGTTATTCATTTTGGAAGTATGCTAGTTTTTTGTTTTTAAAAACATAAATGCCCGTATCATGTAAAACTGAATTTTCCTCATTTTTTATTGAATGGGTTTGATGTAGTATGTAAACACAATTCTTTTACACAGGTTTCAAAACATATATTTCACTCCCTGCAAAAACAGCTCTTGTGAATTCTTTGCTTTCATGATGTCACAAAAACAGATGTATTTACATACAAGGCATTCGGAAAGTCTTCAGACCCTTTTTTACATTATGTTATGTTGCGGCCTTGTGCTAAAATAAAGGTTTTTCCCCTTCATTCTGCACTCAATATCCCATAATGACAAAGTGAAAACAGAATTTTAGACATTTTTGCAAATTTATTGAAAAGGAAAAAATAAAATATTGCATTGACATAAGTATTCAGATCCTTTACTCAGTATTTAGTTGAAGCACCTTTGGCAGGGATTACAGCCTCCAGTCTTCTTGGGTATGACGCAACAAGGTTTGCACACCTAGATTTGGGGATTTTCTGCCATTCTTCTCTGCAGATCCTCTCAAGCTCTGTCAGGTTGGATGGGGACAGTTGGTGGACAGCCATTTTCAGGTCTCTCCAGTGATGTTCTATTGGGTTCACGTCAGGCCGGCTCTAGGAAGAGTTCTGGTTGTTCCAAACTTCTTCCATTTAAGAATTATGGATGCCACTATGCTCTTGGGAACTTTCAGTGCAGCAGAAAATTTGTGTAGCTTTCTCCAGATCTACGCCTCCACACAATCCTGTCTCTGAGCTCTACAGGCAGTTCTTTCCTCCTCATGGCTTGGTTTTTGCTCTGATATGCATTGTCAGCTGTGAGACCTTATTTAGACAGCTGTGTGTCTTTCCAAATCATGTCCAGTCAACTGAATTTACCACAGGTGGACTCTAATCACGGTGTAGAAACATCTCAAAGATGATGAAGAGAAATGAGAGGCCCCCAGAGCTAAATTTCAAGCGTTATAGCAAAGCATATTGATAGTATGAGAAGACTGATTGAGAGAGTTGGGAGAACTCTGAGAACTTGGGCTGGACTCCCCTCCCCTTTCTTAGCTGTAGCAGGACTGATGCAGGACTGAGGAAGGACATGGGGTGGCGGTGGGGATTGTGAATACGTTGTCACAGGAATGGAAGGTGAGGATGTGAATTTATAGAGCATTAGATTGGAAGAAGGAGGGGTTTCAGGCATGTTCCTCCCCCCAAACTTCAGGTATAACATAACTTCATCTAAATTCCATCAGCAGCACACCTGATAATTGAATGAAGCAGGTATTGATGGGAATTAGATGGAAGTGTAAATACTTGGTTGCCTTGATGAGAGGTTTGAGAGAGGAAATGGTTGTCTTTTAACCAATAAACATCTCACTCAACAGTTGCTCTTGGCTTTATGGTCCTTCATTACTGTAGCTGATATCACAATAGGAGGGCCTAAGAAAAATAAATTACGCAGAATATTAAAGAATACGAATACTTTGAAATGACTCCTGAAGCACAGTTGGAAGCGGCTACATCCAGAGAAGATCCAAGGTAATTTCCATGGGTGGCAAAACGCTGTACAACCTCTCAAATTTTGTGGCTCACAGATCAAGAACAATAACCCAATGCTTGTGCATCCTTGGTGAGCAATGCGATGATCAGGATGCCTTGCAGGTAAAATAAAATCTGCCATATTTTGCTGTATTACAGGCCTATAATACAGCTGCATACCTAGCCAGGCTACTGATACAGAAGGAATAAGGAGGCCAGAAGGCTTTTTTTTTTCTTTTTTGTTCCTCTTATGGGAACAGAACAAACACACAACCCTCGGCACAGAAGTAGGTTTGTTGAAATCACAGAGATCAACCAAACTCCAGTTTATACTCTTGAGCTTAGTGCTGAGCTGAGGTTTGCTTCTGCTTCTGGATTTAACGGAACATCAGTAAGAGAGGTGCCAAACTGGGAGCAGAAAAAAATTCTCAGGCGTCTTTATAATTGCTATCCCAGAATTCTCTTTGGACATCCACAGATCAAGATGATGGAATCTTTGATGATAAAACACTGATGAAACAGAACATGCAGGTCTAGATCAAATGATTCTTTAAAAATTCTGTAGGAGTAAATCATTAAGATGTAAACAAAGGAAATCAGAGAAATTTAGCAAACACAGTGAAATGTGCTGTTCTAGAGAAACTTACCGAATCAGAATTGTTCACAGCAGCGGTGAAAAGAACCTGGGGCTCTATTACAGAAACTTCCTATCTTTTTGTCTTAAGTTAAGATCTGACAGGTCAAGATAGGATTTTTCACAAATTCATATTACAGAAGCAAATCTTATCTTAATTTAAGAATCTTATCTTACAGCATCTTATCTAAAAGTTAGGCAATCTTAACCTACTCGATTGAAGTTAACAATCAACTGTCATGTCTGTTACCTAACCGACCATACGTGCACAGCTGAAATGTAAATATGTAATCAAAACAATCAAGTTAGTTAGCCAGACAGCTGGCTATTGTTACTGATGCAAAAAAGTAAAGTGCAATGAACTTGGATATTGTGACTTTATAGTGCTTTCCCAAACGCTTTAACTGGCGCTAATGTTATTCTGCCTAATAAACAGAAACACGTTCAGTGCTTTCTTCTCTTTTTTTCAAATTTAAAAACTGTTGTTCTGTCCTAAATTCGGTACTAACTGACATTGTCATGGTGACTAAACAGATAAGAGTTCAGACTTAAGAAGTTTCTGTAAAACGGCCCCAGATGTCCAATGTGTTTAATATCACTGCCAAGTATCTCACAGGAAGGTACTACATGAAACAGTGTTGAGTGTGCTGCCTGATGCCTGTGGCATTGTTTCACGATAGTTTACGTTAAGTCTCTGGCCTAAAGCACTTTTTAAAGCACACTCATGGTGGAGAGGTAGGTTTTAAGGCAAAACAGTACCCAAAAAAAAACTTATGTGTTCTGAGTTACCATCATCAACAGTATATGTAAAAAACTCAGAAGACAAATGGGTTGCTTGGATAGTAAATAAAATGGCTATATTTGTATTGTAGACATCATGACCCCTGAAGGGTGGATTATGTCATCACAACTGTAAAGACATCTGAGTCGGTAAGTTTTTTTAAAATGTACCATTTTGTGTCAAACCACTCTCATTGACTGTTTACATCTGAATGGGCTATGCAAGAATGCTGAAAATCAGTTGAATTCCCCTTTAAGATGTTACATTTTTTAAAATTCTACATAATTAAATGGTTGAGATGTAAACGAGGTAATTCAGAGTGGTTTGGTGTGAAATGCTCTGTTCTAGAGAAACCTGCTGAGTCAGAATTGTTCACGGTGGTGTTGATAGGAACCAGACGTCCACCTCTAAAAGCTCCCTCACAGAAAGTTATTACATGAAAAAGTTAGATATAAACTGATGTCTGAGACAGTGTTTTATGATAGTTCTGTGATAAAAATGTTGGCTTAAAATTTGTTTTAATCCCTTTATGGTGGAGGGGTACATGCAGGGTGTTGTAAGGCAAAATAGTCCAAAGAAAGCTTATTTTTTCACATTTATGACTATTTTATCATTATCAACATTACATGTAAAAACAGAAGATGTGTAGCTTCACTGGTGGTTTTGGATAATAAATAAAACGGATGTTTGTGTTGTAGACATAGTGACCCCTGGTTCCTATCACCACCACTGTAAAGAAATCAGAGTCTGTAAATTTCACTACAATTAACCATTCCACATCGGACCACTCTGATTGACTATGTTTACACCACAAGAACTAAATTATTCACAATTTTTGAAAATTTGGTAGAATTCCCCTTTAACTCGCCACTTTTGAGAGTACTAGCCAGTTTATGCTTTCTTTTGCATGCTACTCTACTTAATTAGAAATGAAGATATAATGCAAATAGGCTAATTTCGACCAGAACCGCCGCTTCGTGTGCTTATATGTTAGCCTACCAAGTAGGCAGGTTGTAAGTGTGTAGATAGGGCTTTGTTTTTGTATAGTCGACGTATTAGCCTTCCTTATAAGCAGCCTCGTAATGTTGTGACTGCTTTACCTTGCCTGAGCTTTGCCTCATGCGGAGGCTCCTCGGTATTCTCCCTCAGTCAGCAGTCAGCGGGAGTCTGAGAGGAGAAAGGCACGGAAGCCGAGATCCGCCGACCGCTCGATCATAGTAACATGTTATCTAACCCGAAATCTTCTTCATAGAGGCTGCAGTGTTGGGATTCGAATCGTTAGGGGTTGTTTTCGCCGAAGAACAGAGCGTCGCTGTTAACCTGACTAACGTTTCGCCGCGAGATTGTTCTTACGGACCGTGTGTGTCTGTGTTCGCTGCTGAAACGGTCATTCGCTGCCACACAGTCAGTAAGTCAGCCAGTCAGTCAGTCTGCCTCTCACAGCCGTCAGAATGTGCCAGCAGCGGAGTTGAAGATGCCAGTCTGGATTCCTCCTGAGAGCTCGCCGAGTGCTCCTGACGGTAAGAAGACACACTTTATTCTCAGCACAGCGCTCATTTTTATCCACATTAAATAACAGACAGCCTGAATCTTGTTCGGTGTTCGTCGTCAGAGGACTCGCACCTGCGATATATCCACCTTTGAGCCGTTAGAAACAGCCCTCCGCTTTTACCACATCTCTCTCTCCCTCCCTCTCTCCACACATCTTTCAGCCAAACGAAGACAACGCTGAAAGTTGTTAACGCGTCTTCCCTTCAAATTTATTTTCGTCTGTTCTCTCATTTGTTTGCCCGTTTTTCAGCCCGGAGTAGGCTATTCTCAGGCAAAATCGTAGTGACTCAACTCCACACAAACAACTGCAAACACTGGCGGATACATGCCTCATCTTTCGCCTGAAGCTAAATGAAGGCTTATTATGGTTCAGTTAGTAATTAGCTTGGTTTGCATCAGATTCTGGACTGTCTTTTCTATGGCGCGTCTTTGAAGCTTTTAGTCTGAAATGTTCATTTTTTAACCACAGATTACAGAGGTTTGTCAGAGTTGTGCCTGTAAACCTGTTTTTTTTTGTGGCTGCACTGCTGTATGTTGTGTGGAGAAATGCTGTGAACTGTATGAACTTCATGATTAGCCTGAAGAAGTTTGACAGAATCTAACAGAGCTCCTGTAATCACACGGCATATTAAACTCAACACAGCACGCTGTTTTCCAGGTCAAGGAATTGTGCTTTATGAGGTGTTTCTCTGTTGTTGTTGAGCTTCAAATTAAAACCATAGTTCAGACTCAAATTGCTGAAAGTTTTCAGAGGTAGTTTCGCACAGTATTAACTCTGTGACTGTGGTGTCTCCGAGTGAAACAGCACTGCTTCCCCGTGTGGTCACTTACAGCAGCATTAAATCATTCATAGTGTTGTTTTCTACTGATCCTATTGGAAGGATGTTCATTCTTCTAGTTTCTTCTAGTTCATATTAGGGGTACTCAGTAGGGTGGGCAAGATGATGTCTGTCATTATAGTGATACATTATGTTTGATGTGCCTTTTATAAGCATATGGATATCGCCAGCATTTAAAGAACACTGAACAGCTACATGTTTCATTACAAAGAGACAGCATTAGGCCTGTTCTTGCATTTAGAGCAGCACAGTATGTGAAATGCTGAATAAAACTGCTGTATTCATTTTTGCCATTTTGCCCACCCCTTGTGGGCTCACTAGTCAAAATGTAAAATGTCTGAAAATTAATTTCATAGGGATGCAGAAAATGTTACTGTGTGTGCTTTCAAACTGTTGACCTTTCTCACATAATTTATGCCAAAATATTACTGTAGCAATAAATATCTGCAGCTGGCTGTATTAATTTACTGAAGCCTGTACAGAAATGTTGTGCACACACATTTTCCATCTTACAGACATCTGAGAAGGACTTTCTGGGTGCTGCTCTGTTACTGACATCTGAAGACACCATAAAGAAAACCATTTTTCTATGGCGTTCTGGTTTACTGTATGAAGTAATTGTCGGTTAGTAGGCTAAGACAAAAGACTCACAGCTCAAGATTGTTGGTTCAAATCTATACCAGTGCATTAAGGCTGCTGACTTCATAGTCAGGTCAGCAGATGCTGAACTTTCATTTTCTTTCCTTTGTCCAGTTGTCCCGTGCCCATGAGCAATAAGCAAGGTCCAGTATCACAACACATAGGCCTAATAACATGAAAACATGAGGCCAGAGTGATGTGCATTATTAGTGAAATAGAGCTGAAATATCACCAAAGCAAGCTCGACTAAAGGCACATGATGATTGCAGTAATCCTGTGCACCCTGTTTGATGTTTATTGATATCCAAAAAGATGATTTTTTTTTCAGATACATTTTAGTGATAACAGCCTTCTGGAATGAAAATTTGAACAGCATTTTTGAAGCCATGTTATTTGTCTTGTCCTGACAGCTCCAGAAGTCTCCGACGTTTCATCACATCAGGTCAGGAGGGTCTTTTTTGCACATTTAGATATTGCGAGTTTGTAAATGTCAGTTCTCTCAAACCCGGTGAAAATAAGAACGCGTGACTTTGTAAGACATGGCTTCAGCTTAATCTTTTATTACTGTCTTAAGAAAATGTAAGCAGTGGTCAGGACATTACTATGGCAGGCATCAGTGGTGCTCTCAGCTGTCCGGATTTGGAACTGGCCTACATGTATAATGCATCAACTATCTGATTCTTCAGCGTGGAGCTGTGGCTCAGGGAAGAATGCGTCTAATGAGAGCAGTATTTGAGATGCAGGGAAACCCTTTTGTGAAAGGAGATATTACATGCACTGAGTGAGGAAAGGAGCTGGTGGAGGGATGAATTCATGCCCATATTCCAGGTTTATTATAAGGCTTCACTCAGCTCTGTTCTGTCCAGGGTGCACTGAAGACTATCAAATCCACTGAGGGCAGCTTTCATTGTAAGTGAATGGGGATGTGCCGTACCCTTGCTTTTGTCCTTGCCCTGTTCCAGACGGCTGGAATTTGGATGTCGAATTAGCAAATGTGAAATAAATTCCGATGAGCTATTGGAATACTTTGTATTACAGGAGTGGAATTGTGAAAGTGAACCTAAATCATGAAAATAGGACGAGAAGGACCTAAAGTCGGCCGATAAGGTAGGCATCATATTTGACGGTATTTTCACAATGCACAATATGTATGATGATATTTTGCGCATCAAAACGGCAGTGCTGCATACTAAAAAAAAGCCTGTGAAAAGCTGTGCAGTCATTTTTGTTGAGTTTAAATTTGAATGAAATATTTGCAAAAATAAACTCAACATGAATTGGAAATCAATACATTTTCCTGCTGTGATGTATTTCTGAGTGAAACGTGGTATTAGGGAGGGTCTCTGAGCTACCTCAGCATGTTCACTAGATGATTGGTGAGGGAGATAAAGCATGATATTATTGGTTAATATTATTTTTCCCCTCCCACTAGTACACGATGATGTAATCAAATATAAGGATTTGTTTTAGAGGTGGGCAAAATTCATTAAATTTTCACAGAAGAACAAGAATTTTGTCTTTAAATTATATAATTAATAGGGATGCATGATCATAGAATCATATCAATATTGTCAGGTATTTGCCTTTAAAAAATCATAATTTTATTTGCTTTTCATTCATTTTACTGCATTTGCAACCCTCTAAAAATAAAAGTTACATTTCTCTGTAATGCTAATCTAACTTCTACATTTTAGTTGATGTACAGATATTGGCATTGCCAGTTATATACAAACTTTGAAAAACACTGGACATGAACTAACAAAGCAAAAAAGTTTGATTTCAGGTTGCCTTTAATATGATGGAACCAGAGGAAAAATCAAACAACTGGAAAAAAGACTGTGCATTTCATGCAGGGATTATCACCAGTCTTTTACAGGCTTACTGTAATTGATCTAAATCTTTCTTTTATGAGACATGAAGATGTTTAGTGTTCTAGAAGTACTTAAAATCCCATGATATACTAGATAGAAAAATGGGTTGTGACGTAATTTATCTACAAAAATCATGACATATCGTCAAATTGCTCAACTCTAGAAGGACAGCATTAACTCTACTGTGTGCCTTTTCAAGGGTATCACATTTGTGACTGCATTATTCACTTTTCCAGTTAGACACATAAGGCTAGTTTAATAAATCTGCTTTTCTATTACAATAAGTAGAACCTGTACAGGCTCTCAGCTCTGCTGTTTCGTGAATGACTTTGCTCGAGCTTCCTACTTATCTCCTTATGAGTGTCTTTTCTTGTGTGAGTGAGCGGTGTCTGACATGGAAAGCGCAGGGCTGCATTATTCGACAGACAATTACACGCACAGAAAGCTCGCATCTCAACACACAAACCCATTTGTGCCGAGGAAAATGGTAATTAGCTGTCCTATTTTAATCTAGTATAGAAGTGCTTTGACATAGGGATGTCAGACTGATTGCTCTGGGGGATTAAGGCGCCTATCAATAAGTGGAGCAGGTGGCCAAGGTGAGCCAACAGAAGCCCCTTTTCTCTTCCATATCAGCACAGCCCTTAACGCTGGCAAAGCCTTTGCTGCTGATTTCTCGCTCCTTTGCTAAGAAGGCTCAGCCTGAGGAGCTGTTAGGTTGCTATTAACCTATACATATCACAGATGCAGGTTATTATTACTTTGTGAAGTCTAAACTTGCACTCTGCTTAAGCATTTTTCCTTCACTCTATTCAAGGGTGTGATTTAACAAGGGCAAGGTGTTGCCTGGTTGCGTGGGAGTTCTGCTGTAGCACTGCTGGTGTGATGCTTGTGAAAGCACTAATTGTGTCTGTCTTCCTCTCTGTGAAAGGCAAAATTACCTCTTCCAGAGGGCTCTTAACGTAGGTGAATTGAATTTTCTCTGCATGAGGAAGCAGTTTAAAGAGGCGCGATTTTTGGCAGGGTGGTTTTGATGAATGTGAGCTGAGATGGCGAGAGGAAGAGCAGGACTCACTGTGCAGTCATGAGGGAGAGGAAGGTAGGAGTGATATGGACCATCTGTCAGCCTGAGCAAATAATATTTTTCAGAAACAGCGACATTATACAATTGCATAAACAGCTTTTTTTAACGGGGAAATGAATGACTAATATAAGGCCTAGAAATGTTTCTACTCACTGTATCACCATCTCATCTATAAGACCAAAGTTCATACTTGATCTAAGTAATCTCCACTGTGTCTCACTGGGATAAGCTAAGCTCTATTTAAAATGAAGTGGTATGGCAGTTTTAGTTGCGTGATTAGCTACACCAGAACGGCTCTCGCGCTCTTGAGGTTGGAGGAGGTCTCTAAGTGTCGTTCATGGAGATGTGATACGTTTATACTTAGCCTTTTAAAAAATAGGGCATAATCACACTAATGTTCATATTGATCATGTTTCCAGAAACAGAATGACTCCAAGGGGAGCAATTAATTAAGCTTATGTGCTAATGACGTTTGTTTTAATAGAGTAAGTGCACTTATGTTTTAGCATAGTGTGGACCTTGGGTTAGGTTGATAT